GAGAAGTGTTTGGACAAAATCGATCTAAGCCTCTGGCAGCGTCTCCCTGTGAAATAATCAGCGACTTGGAATAAAGGGAATGTTCAGGGACATTTACTGCAATCTTGAAATACGGAGCAAAAAACAAGCAACCTTTTGCTTTGATAGTAAAAAATACTTTAAATAAAGCTTTGCAATCATATGCTGAGTTAACAAATGATCATAAATTATTTCTCCTCGAAAATATTAGGTATAAGTGTCTCCTTGTGATCAGGGGGCTGACCTGCAGCTGCAGTCTTACTGTAAAGTCACTTTCCTATGGTCGTCATGTAAACGCGTCGTTCCTTGGGAACACACAATCTCTAACAGCTGTGGGGAAGCTCACTGGGAAAAGCCTGTCTGTAAAAATCTTGAGCCAATTATAAATTACAAAAATGTGAAATATAAGGAAAAATATATTTCGTGTAAAACTGTTGCCTTAGTCCAAATGTCTTGTTGCTGTTCCTTTTCCCCTCCCTTTTTCTTTGTTTTTTGTTTTGTTTTGTTTTGTTAAAGCCAGCTCTTGGTAAGACTGGAGCATTGAAAATGCACTGGGATTAAGTAAAATTCTAGGTTATTTATTCACGTTTACCTGAACGAACCCTTTGCTTACTTTCAGTTTAAGGATATGTCTTTAAATCTTCCTTTTAAGAAGAGAACCACATAAAAGTGGATGGGAAGGGACTGCCTCTCCCTGACACACAGTTAAGTCGCCTTTAAGCGTAGACTTAGGAAGGCATGTGCCGGCACATCGCTCATTAATGCGACCCAGGGTTGAAAATTAGAGTCCTCAACCACCTCAAATGGCACATTTATTGGTTCCTCTGGGAATTTATTTTTTTGTGGGGGAGGCTTATCTTGTGTATTTATGTGTATGGGTTATATAAATGTGGAACATAAACAGGTATCTGTGGATCAGGAGAGTAAGAAGACAGAAGGGAAGGATACTCTTTAAATTTAAATATTGTACCAGAAATAACATATATCCCTAGAAGGAGTATCTGGGGGGATGGTGGGAGTGAAAGGATAGTGCATCCTCAATTTTTCTGCTGTGTTTCTATAAAATGCTTTACCACTTTAATAGGGTACTTTTAATATTTAACATTTAAATCTGGCTTTAATTTTAATATGAAATACTCTATATTTACATATTATTAATTTATAACAGCCAATTAAAAACTATGAATAAGCCCCTTATTTTTCCCTTTCTTGCTAGACTGTGTGCTTGGGAATACAGGGAGGTATATGGTCCTGCCTTCCAGGTACTTATAGTTAGTTGGAGACAATCAGGTGCTAATCTGTACCTAATCTATGTTGGTATTTACCGGATGCCCGATACTGGGCCAAGTGCTTTATATGAATTGTTTATTTAATCCTTAACCTGATGAGGTTGATACTGTAATCCTCATTTTAAAGTTGAGAAATGAGCCACAGAGAAGTTTTCTAAAAGTTGGCAAATCCTATAGCTGGTAAGTGTCAGGATCTAGATGCTGCTCTGGGTCAGACCTAGCTACCCCTGGTCCTCATTTTTTTTTCTTAAGATTTTATATATTTATTTTAGAGAGAGAGTACATGATTGGGGGTGGGGAGAGCAGAGGGAAGGGGAAAGAATCTCAGGCAGACTCTGTGCTGAATGCAGAACCCGAAGCAGGGCTGGCTCCGATGACCCTGAGACCACAACCTGAGCTGAACCCAAGAGTCAGATGCCTAACAGACTGAGCCACCCAGTGGCCCCTGGTCCTCAGTTTTTAACATTTGGTACTCCTGCTACTAGAGGTGGTATGGTGACCTGACTGCCATTTGTCCTCTGTTTTGTAAGCAAGCGTACTGGGTTAGGACACTTCACTACTTGTGGGTGGGAATTCCAGTTGCTCAATCATTGCCACCTGGAAAACTGACTTGAATGAGATCAGGACCGTGTCATGGTGCATGGGCAACTGCAGTGACATCTGCATCCTCTGTGGCCAGGGAACAAGGATGGAGAGGGCCTGCTGTTCTCCACGGTTTTTTCCAGCTCTGTGCCTTGGTGTATGCACTGTTTTGTCATTAAGTCTGCCTCTTAGAATTTTCTTTTATGGAAAACACCAAATGTGCCCTGTTTTCTTTGTTGAAATTTACAATAAGAAAATGAAACAGGAATGAAGTAGGGTTTTGTTATTGCCCTTTTCTAAAGAGATTTTTTTATTTGAGAAAAAGAGTGAGCATAAGAGAAGGCAAGCATGAGCAGGGGGTAGGAAGAGAAGGAGAAGCAGACATAGCAGGGAGCCAACATGGGACTCTATCCCAGGATCCTGGGATAATGACCTGAGCCAAAGGCAGATGCTTAACCTACTGAGCCACCCAGGCACCTACCTTTTTAAATTGCTTGAATTTATAAAACTTTTATCAAGCACCTATTCTGTACCAAGCACGGTATAACTAATATCACCAAACCGTCCTATGCTCCATAGTCCCCATCTTTGATGTCCAGGGAAGCTCACATCAGAAATCTGATTACCTTCATTCTTACCCCATTATCTCTTTATTGTTTATAATGAAAGCAAAAACTTCCATGAACTGTAAAAATTCAATTAGAATGTAAACCCTTTCACTGAAATCCAGGATTTAGCTGGGATTCATGGCTCAGAAATTTGTCACTTTTGGACTTCATTTGCTTTGGATGAAGCATTTATGTTCTGGTTTGGTTCATTCCTGGGCTGTAAGTCCATAGTGCCTTGAGGAAAACCCTCCTCCATACAAGGAATAACCGTGAAGGAATTTCCAGTTCTACCTGCCTATCCTCTAATTGCCTTCCACGAGACAAGAACCATGGGAACCTGAAATCAGAACACTTTGAAATACCAGCATTGAAGAGTGAGAATAGCTAATGTGTAATGTCTATGCTAAACCAGAAGCTATCTTATGCTGGATTCCAGAATGAGCCAGCAGTCACGGGTGACAGGGTCGGGATGGTGTAACTCATTTCTGCAAATCGATGAGAGAAAGTTGTCTGAGAAAGCAGTGTGCTCGAGCCTTGGGAGTGGTTCCCATGCCAGGGAACCCTTTTCCTGTGTTCTCGTGAGTCTTTCCCAATATCCTAAAGACCAAGAAATAATAAAAGGCTTTCCTATGACTCTTTGTAGAGAAGTAGTTTGAATTCTCCCTGCCCGGGTCGTTTTAGAACTGACACGTGTTCTTCATCCTAGGGCCAGGTTGGCACATTTCCCCATTTGCTTCCTTGAATCTCCTCTCCTCTGAGAAAAAACAGTGTTTTATCCCTTGTCCTGTTTGCCTTTTCCTCTTTGCCTTTGAGAAGAGCGCTTTAGAGTAATTAACTCTCGGCTCAAGTCCTTTGTAAATCTTTCCCTCAAATAATCTGAGTACCTCCTCAAAATGAGGCCACAGCACTATATATTATCCGATGAATCTTATATCACCCCATTCTTAATATCTTGGCTGATTTTTATGAAACTGTGAATCCATAAAGTGAGTGCTATCACTTCATGGTCATTGATTGTTTTTTAATATTGGCCTTTATTTGAATCCTTCTAATTTCTTAAATGCAGTGATAGTATTCTTTTTCATTATGGTCCCTAGAATTCACACACATCAGTATTAATATTCTTGCATTTTATTGTAAAATACTTCTATTAAAAATTACTACTTATCAAATTTGATCAATATTCTTTTCCAAGAGAACATATTTTTATATACTTAAAATGTTCTTTGTACCATGGAGCTGACATGAATATATATAATGTTTCAATAAGCAGAACTGTTTTCCTTAAAGTCTGAATTTTGAGGATTAGGTCAAATAAATTACTGAATTTATACTGTGTGTATGGATGAGATCATACTGTGTATGATGAACACCACTATCCTAGAAAGGAAATAAATATCATACAATGCAGCGACATGAAGAGCCAGCAGAATGAAACTGGGGTTGACTGGGACAAAGAACCTTTGCCTCAGCTTTTTTTTTTTTTTTTTTTTTAATTTTTTTTTTTTTTTATTTATGATAGTCACAGAGAGAGAGAGAGAGGCAGAGACACAGGCAGAGGGAGAAGCAGGCTCCATGCACCGGAAGCCCGATGTGGGATTCGATCCCGGGTCTCCAGGATCGCGCCCTGGGCCAAAGGCAGGCGCCAAACCGCTGCGCCACCCAGGGATCCCTGCCTCAGCTTTTTAAACCCATATGTTAAATGGTAGCCATGAGCTGGAGAAGGCTCTTCAAGCATTCAAATTTGTTGTGCCTTTACAGTTATTTTAGGGAAAGACCATATCATCTGCTAATATCAATTATGGTCTTTCCTTAAAATAGCAATTGAGACTATGAATTTTATTTCCAAATTTCATTAGGCTTCAAATGATAAAACTGTACACTTTACATAGGAGAAAAAGAACCTGGACTTGGTCATTTACTACCCCTGCTGGAGTCTTATAAAAGAGCTTGCTCTTCATGACAGGCTGTATAGGCGAGTTTGACACTGAGCTCTCCCTAATTTAGTTTCCTTTTTATTGAACAATAGATGCTTGTCTATGCCACAGGTATGTTGTTAGGTTATGCTTACAATACACTATAAAATATTCTAGTATTTATGAATGAGAAAATTTGTCATTTATATTTTAAATGTTTTTACAGTGCTTTTAACTTTTTGTTTATCAACTGTGCTCAGTCAGTCCATAATAAATTATGATTTCCCGCTTATTTTGCTTTGTTATGTGGGTTCTTTACTCACTGATTTCTGAAAAAAACTCTTTATGGCTTGGAACCTAATAAAATTTATATTATTATAACTATAAAAATAAATGGTGATTCTCTTATAAAATGATTGTTTTAATGAAATTGTGTGATATTTTTGTATTTCCTCTTACTAAATGTACTTGTGACAATATTCTCTTTCATAAAATCCAATCCCACTTTGAGGATTTTTAAATTTTTGTTTCTTGGGGAGTTTCTTTTTATGGTTCTCATTCTTTAAAAAAAATGTTTTTTCTTGTAGCTGGTTTTAGGAGAAGTTTTCGTCTTAGTAGAAAAGATAAGAAAACAAATAAGTCCATGTATGAATGTAAGAAGAGTGATCAGTATGACACAGCTGATGTGCCCACATATGAGGAAGTGACACCGTATCGGCGGCAAACGAACGAAAAATACAGACTTGTTGTCCTGGTTGGTAAGTGTGTCTTTTGTGTTAATTTTGACAAAACAAGCGAGGTAGTGGGGGCACTTGGGTGGCTTGATGGTTGAGCATCTGCCTTTGAGTCGGATCACGATCGGAGGATCCTGGGATCGAGTCTCACGTGGGACTCCCTGTGGGGAGCCTGCTTCTCCCTCTGCCTATGTCTCTGCCTCTCTATCTCTAATGAATGAACAAATAAAATCTTTTAAACAACAACAACAAAACAAGTGAGGTAGTAAGAATTTAACTTCAAAGAGCATGGTGCTTGAAGATTTCAAGCTAAATGAAAGACATTTTCAGTCTTTTGTACTCATATGGCATTCATGAGACATAAGACATATGTGAAGAATGGTATTGACATTTTAGTGGGACCTTTGAAAGGGGGGGATAGCAGACACGTCGCAATAAGTTAAGTAAATTGGGGTAACTAAATAATAGAAACAAATATTTTTTAATATAACCCAAATTTCTTTTAAATCATTTTGAGCCAGTAGCCACAGTAGAAGCTTCTTATGGCATTTAGTCCTTCAGTGAAATAAACTATTTCAGCAGAGTACTAGGATATTTACAGCTGGAGAGTCATTAACTAATGAAACTGCTTAAAGTAGTTAATAAATATGGTGATTTCCACAGACATTGGTGGTTTGACTCATTTTCATGTTCTAGCATCTGTCCTGACCAGACTTCATAGATATGCGCAGTCACAGCCTCCATGTTACTCCATTCACCTCATCCCAGTTTGCATTTTTTTAAAAAATTTGGTGACAGGTAATTAAAACTGATAATTGGGGGTGAAGGTGGGGGGTGGGAGAGAAATGAAGGAGTTTGGTGTCTCTTATCGATTATTCCTTTATAAACTGAAGATGACCATTAGGGGATGAGAATAAGCGGAAAAGCTAAAGAATCATCCCTTCAATTGACATGGAGTCCTTTGAAAGGTTACAGCACAGGGGTGGTGGTGATGAGACGGAAATGTTGCAGTTTCCCACACCCGATGTGATCTCTAGCATCATCAGATGTTCACATCATTGGCATTATTTAGAAAAACATGTACTTCAGATTTTCCCATATTAACAGTGTCCCCTTCTAATCTATGTATATGAAAGCCCCCCCCAACACCTCCTGGAGGAATATTCTCCATAGATTTCTATGTTTACTGTAAGAGCCTTCAGTTCCTTGGCTTCCAGTCCCTGTAGAATAGGCTAATGAGAATATAAGCATTCCCTGGTTCTAAATCTTTTTGTGTCTCACAGCGGGTACTTGGACCTCCTGCTCCTCTCTACCCCATTGTCCTTCCCAGAACCCATCTTAGCAGCGTGTCTTCTATCCCATAACATATTTTGCTCTTCAGCCAAGGTCTGCTTCTCACCTGAAGATAGAGACATACCTTGCGATAAAAAGTCAAAGAGAACACAATTTCCTGTTTCCCCTAAATCTAGATCTCCTCTGTAGGCAAAGAGTTACTGTTATGACTGTGCTACTTTTGGTTTCCCTGGGGGGTGGGATCTAAGTGAAGGAGAAAAGTAGAATAAGCTTTGCTCTTTTTTTTCCTTCCCATAGGTGCTAACCTCCAAGGTGGGGAAGGAAAGATAGAATAAGATAAACTATGGGTCTGAATAGGAATGCAGGAAATAATACAAATAAATCAGTCACAAGCAACTAAAGATGATTGATAGTTATGAAAAAGAAATATTCACTCCCTAGAATCTTCCAAAGGAAAAGGGGACACGGGAATGCTGACCTCATACAGGTTAAGGCAGCCATGCAGTTCTGTTAAATGACATCTATGCAGATGTCATCATCTCTCCCTGCAGTTCGTTAAGGAAATTCCTAGTATCTTTCTTTCGTTGATGCTTTCAATTTTTTTTATGTAGATAATCTTGTTATCTGTGACCAAAGACAATTTTATTTTTTTTTGTAGGCATTTTATTTTATATTCATCTTGTATTCTCTCCTCACTGTAGGCTCTCCAGTATCATGATGAATGAGATTGGTGAGAACATCTTTGCTTTGTTCTTAGTCTTAGGGAGACAGAAAGTACTCAGTCTTTCACCATGAAGTATAATATTAGATGTAGGTTTTTTTTTTATATAAAAAAATACCAGGTTAAGAAAATACCCTTTACCAGGTTAAGAAAATACCCTTCTATTATTAATTTGCTGAGAGTATTTACCATAAATTGATGAATTGATGTTGAATTCTGTCAAATGGATTTTTTTTCTGCATCTGTTGACATGATTATATGGTTTTGCTTATTTGATCTGTTGAAATGGTGACTTGCATCCTTTTTTTTGTGTGTGTATTGAATGAGCTTTGCATGATGTATTATTCTTTTGCATAGCATTAGATTCAGTTTGCTGCTCTGTAGTTTTCTTAGAATGTTTTTGTCTAGTGTTTATCAAGATAATGCCATATTCTTAAAATGTGTTGGGGAGTGTTTTCTCCTCTTCACTTTTCTGGGAGAGCCTTTGTAGAATTAGTATTATTTTCCTCTAAAATGTTTGGTAGAATTACACAGTAGAACCATACTGGCATCCTTTTGGGGAGGTTTTAAATACAAATTTAATTTCTTTTTAAAAATGAAGGAGAAGAGAAGGAAGGAAGAAGGAAAGAACGTGTGAGAGAGGGCATCTTTGTATCTTTATACACACGCACACACACACATAACTATTCAGATTATCTTCTTGAATGAGATTTGGCAATTTGTGTCTTTGAAAGAATTTGTTTCACCTAAGTTACCAATTGTATAAGATAAAGTTGTTTATAATTTTCCCTTATTATCCTTTAACTCTCTGTAAGGTCTGTAGTAATGTCTCCACTTTCATTTTCATTATGGATAGTTTGTCTTGACTCTTACATCAGGTACATATTGCTGTATAACAAGTTTTTGGAGTTCTTTTGTTGGAATTACAGGAGTCAAAGTTTAAGTGTTCATAATCTGTACACTCATAGCTTCAGTTTAGTACAAACTTAGTGACCTTAAAATAGCACATACTTACTATCTGAAAGTATCTGCAGGTCAGAATTTGGAGAGTTTGAGCATGACTTAGCTAGGTTGTCCTCTGCTTCAGGATCTCTCATAAGGCTGTACTCAAGACTTGGCCAGAAGTAGGTATCTCAGTTTGAATGCTAGACCAATAAAGGATTTACTCCTGAAACCATTTGGTTTGGCAGAGCTCATAACCCACCCTCAGTTCCTTGCCCTCTGGGCCTCTGCAACATGGTAGCTTTATCAGAGTGTATAACCTGAAAAGGCAAAGGAACAGAACATTCCATATTTTGTTGGTTAGAAGCAAATCACAGGTTTTGCCCACAATCAAGGAGGTGGAATTGCACACAAGTGTGAAAAACAGAAGAGTGGGGATCATTTTTGGCCTTCCTAGAGTCTTCCTGCCTTAACTCTTTTTCTAATTTATTGATCTTTTATAACAGCACATGTACATTTAAATTCTTTTCTATTGTTTTTATTTTCTTAATTTTTTGTTTTTCTTTTCTCAATGTTTTGTTTTTCTTTTCTCAATTTTTAAAAAGATTGTATTTATCTATGAGAGAGAGAGAGAGAGAGAGAGAGAGAGAGAGAGAGAACCAGCAGGCAGAGCAACAGGCAAAGGGAGAGGGAGAAGCAGACTTACCGCTTAGCAGAGAGAAGGACATAGGGCTTGATCCCAGACCCCTGGGATCATGACCTGAGCTAAAGGCAGATGCTCAACTGACCGAGCCACCCAGATGCCCCTCTTTTCTCAATTTTGTTGATTTGCGTTATTATTTCCTTCCTCTGCTTACTTTGGACCTAGTTTTCTTTTTTTTCTTGTTTTATGAAGTTAAATCTTAGACTGTTGACTAGAAACCCTTATTTAAAAAATGTAGGTATTAGTAAACTTAAATTTAAATTTCCCTCTAAGCACTGCAGCCTATGATTTTTGATCTGTTGTATCTTTATAACATATCACTCAGATCACAGTATTTCCTAATTTCCTTTGTGATTTCTTTGATCCACAAGTTGTTTAGAATGTGTTATTTAATTTCCAAATACTTGAGGATTATCCAGATATCTTTCTGGTATTGATTTCTTGTTTAATTTCATTGTAATCAGATAATATGCTTTGTATGATTTTAGTTCTTTTAAATTTATCAGATTTTTTTTTTTTTTTTGTCCAGAATCTGGTCCGTGTCCTCAAGTGTTGTGTGTGCACTTATAAAAAGTGTATTCTGCTGTTGTTTGATGGAGTGATATATGTTAAGTTGGTTGATAATGTTATTTAGGACTTCCGTATTCCTAATTTTTTGTCTACTTGTTCTGATAATTGTTGAAAGGGGAGTGTTAAATTCTCCATAGTGGTAGATTTGTCTATTCCTCTTTTCACATATGTCAGCTTTTACTTAGGATATTTAGAAGCTCTGTTAAGTATATGTATATTCAGAAGTATTATGTTTTCTTAATGAATTACCTTCTTATTATGTAATGTCCTTTTTAATCCCTGATAACATTCATTGTTCTGACATCTGCTTTGTGTGATATTTGACATTGCCACCACTTAAGTTATCCTTTGCTAATTGTTTGCATGATGTATCTTTTCCTGTCCTTTAATTTTAACCCATCTATGTGTTTATTATTAAAGTGAGTTCATTTTTTACAGATAGCATAGTCTTGGGTCTTGTGCTTATTCAGTCTGATAATCTACATCTTTAATTGGTATGTTTGGACCATTTATATTTAATATAAACTACTCATATGGTTGAATTTAGGTCTATTATTTTTATTTTACTTTTGTTTTCTGTTTATTACTTCATTTTTTTGTTTTTCTTGCCTGCCTTCTTTTGGGTTATTTCACTACTATTTTTTTTTATTTGACTTTAATGTAACTGCTGATTTTTTGGCTTTACCTCTGCATGTAATTATTATTTGTTTCTGATGTTTTTTTTTTTAATCTTTGATTTTCAGCAGTTGGATTATGATGTATCTATATGTGCTTTAGTTTGAGTTTAATATGCCT